GGAGCTGTGGTAAGTGCAGCCACTGGGGATGGGCAGTTGGACTTGGAGCAGTCAGGCACCACGCTCTGGCTCCCCTAGAGCCTGGTGGGAAGGGAGACCCCAAGAGCCCGCTGCTGGCACATAAGACTGGCTGGGAGCACTGCTCCAAGTGCCTGTTCCTGAGTTGCCATCCCAAGCACTGTACCTTCCCCTCCCTGACCAGAGCTGTGGTAAGTGCAGCCACTGGGGATGGGCAGTTGGACTTGGAGCAGTCAGGCACCACGCTCTGGCTCCCCTAGAGCCTGGTGGGAAGGGAGACCCCAAGAGCCCGCTGCTGGCACATAAGACTGGCTGGGAGCACTGCTCCAAGTGCCTGTTCCTGAGTTGCCATCCCAAGCACTGTACCTTCCCCTCCCTGACCAGTCATGGCTGCGATGTGGGGTCTGCCGGGAGGCCAAGGGAGTGAGAGAAGTTTGTTTGAGAGCAAACACAAGGTTGAGGTCTGTAAACAGAATCAAGGCCAAATACAGATTATTAATCTCTGCAGCTAATGATTTTCTCTGTCCCAGATAAGAAGTCTGATCTATAAACTTTGCAATCTGGTTACCAGGCCCTTAAGTCAGTCAAAGATTATGTTGTGCAGAGGGTGCTGTGTCACCTTATATTACCTTTTCTGTAGGTCAGGGCTACTCAACATATGTCCCCCGCCCCAATTGTTTGCGGCCTATGGTGCGGTTTGTGTTTACATGGGGCTTAACACGCAGCCCACGGGTGAGAGCCAAAACAAAATAGTCACTATAATGGTCTTCTGTTGATATGTGTTTTAGTAGTTAAATTCCTGGACCATCATTGCTCATTAAAAGTGCTGTCATGTGAGTGGAAATGGGGTAAATATTGCATTATTATTATTATTATTATTATTATTATTATTATTATTATTATTATTATTATTATTATTATTATTATTATTATTATTATTATTATTATTATTATTATTATTATTATTATTATTATTATTATTATTATTATTATTATTATTATTATTATTATTATTATTATTATTATTATTATTATTATTATTATTATTATTATTATTATTATTATTATTATTATTATTATTATTATTATTATTATTATTATTATTATTATTATTATTATTATTATTATTATTATTATTATTATTATTATTATTATTATTATTATTATTATTATTATTATTATTATTATTATTATTATTATTATTATTATTATTATTATTATTATTATTATTATTATTATTATTATTATTATTATTATTATTATTATTATTATTATTATTATTATTATTATTATTATTATTATTATTATTATTATTATTATTATTATTATTATTATTATCAGCAGAACTGACTTAAATGGGGCCTGTGTGTTGTGTACTCTTGCTTTAATCTTTGTATTCATGCCCGTAAGTGTGAAAAGCTATTTGCATATGTATTTGCATATGAATTTGCATACACACACACACACACAACCACACTTAAGTGGTGGCCCTCGGGCATGTGCTGTGAGGTATCATTGTGGCCCCTGGGGCTTCCAAAGTTGAGTAGCCCTGCTCTAGGTGCTAGCCACAGATTTGCTTCTTATCCTGGTTTAACAAAGCCGAAAATTAGCAGTATGAAAGTTACTCAGGATAATTGAACGGCTCTTGTCACTGTAGCATACAGCCTGAAAAGTGATATTTCCTTGAATAGTTCCTTTTATTTTAGATGTGGCTAAAAATATAGAAGAGTGCTTTATACTTTAAAATATTGCTTTCTATCAGATCTGTTAGCACATCTAATTCTTTCCTCGTATTCTGTGTCCTGGAAATAATATGGGAAGGTAGGAAAACAGGATTTTATTCATTTTATTGGGGTGATTGCTTGTAAGGCTAATGAAATGTTTCAGATATGTGACTAAAACTCCAAGATCAATTGAGGTGAGGGGGCAGTTCAGTCTTCATTTCCATTTAATTTTTAACCTATGTATTGAGACTACCCCTGAAGAAATCAGTTGTGCTGACTCAATTCAGACACACCTTCTCTAGAATCAAGAGCCTTCTCTAGAATGGCATTGTGACCACTAGCACATTTCATAACAGGCACCAAACAAATATCTGGTTGTAAAAGCACTTGTCCACTACCAGCTTGGTCTGTGCTGTAAATTAAAGAACTGTAATTGAAAGAATCCACACTCTATTTCTGACTGCCTTCCTCCCCCCATGCACATGCTCTATACTCACATAGCTCCCTCTATAACAGGCTTGATTGATATTTGTAATATTCTGAACTTTGAAAAATTATACAACAACTGCAACCTGTTTAGTGTTTTTAAAAACTAAAGCCTTTTTAGTTAGGTAGTTTCATTTTATGAAAAACTAGAAGATTTATTGGCATTGCTTGGGCCCTTAATTCAAACACATTTTTTGTTCTGAGGTGGGGCTGGGGATGAGGGTTGCCCTGGGAAGAACAAGAACAACCCCGTCTTCTCACTGCAGCAGCCTGGGGCCAGGTGCGAAGTGACTGTCCATTGCCATTGCAGCTTCAGTGGGGGCAGTCAAACACACAAACAAACTCACTCTTCTAAATATATAGTAGATAGCTGTCCCTTTCTCCACCTCTGTCTCCTGCTAGCTCAGTGAGGTTATTGCTGTCCCAGTCCCCATCTCTGCCCCCTTGCTGCCTCCTATGGTCGTTCTATAGTATAACTGTCTCTCCTACCAAACCCCTCCCTTTTCATTTTATGAGAAACAATCAAATTCCAGGCACATACCTTTGTCCTGACCAAATTCCAGGCACATCCCTTTGTCCTGATAAAACCAAACCCATACCTTGCTTTAAGTTATGATGAGAGGAAGCTGCATAACAAATTTGGTGGTCCTAGCTCTTACCATTTAGGAGGAGTTCTTAACTCATAGCTGAATGGACGGACGGATGGACAGACACTCAAAGTTTCTAAAATAAATAGTAGATGAGCAGCTAAACATGACAGAATATATTATCAGAGTTTTATGACAGCTAACTTAAAATAGAAATGATACTCAGATATCTGAAAATAATAAACAATGAGGGTACCTCTTCTTACTCGGGGATTAGGTCCACTGAAATATCCTGTTTATGTTGAAGCAACACAAACCTATTCCTTCTAAGCAATCCAAGTTTTGTCTACAAATTTCTGCTGAAGTAATTTGACTACCAGTATATTGCTTCCTCAATAGCTTTATGAAAGTGTCACCACTCTTAGATGAAAACTTTATTACTAGTGCCATAGCAAAAGTTGCCTTTTAGATAACTATAGCTTTCAAAGATGAGACTCTTTCAAGAATATATCAAAAATATGATAGCCGCTTTTGGAGCTACAAAGTCAATAGTGCAGGGAAATGTCAAGTAATAATTGGCTCATTTTGATTTGTAGAAGACAGATTTAGTAAGAGATTCAAAGGTGTTATTAATATAAAAACTTTGTATTTTGTTCATTTAGTAACAGAAATCATTGTTCTGCTATTGGACTATCCAGTCTTCAAAAAGAAAAACAATTTTAATCCGCAATAAATTGCAAGAAAATATTGATTGAAATAGCAAACTCGTTTGGCCACCTTATGCAACCTTGCTTTTCAGTCTGTATGCTGTAATGCCAGTGT